GGTCCTCCTGTCCTGCCTGAGCCTGCAGGAAGTTTCTGGTGGAGGAGGGTCAGTGGCCGGCCATGTGGGTTCACAGCTCCTGGTTTTGTCAAAGTCAAGAGAGGCCTTGCGGTCCAGGAGAGCAAGTCCCTGGTGGGGTAAATGCAGGTGTAGGCAAGAGCCAGGGCTAGGGAAGCACTAGAATACAGCCTGAAGATCCAGGAGGACTGGGAGGAGGTGGTGACTGGGCTGCAGATAACTGTGTTAGGCAGAGAGAGGAAGGGATTCCTGGCAGAGGAGCAGCTGGGCTAAGGCCCAGGGAGAGGGGGCTTTGATTCACCAGGAGGGTTACAAGGGATGAGGGTCACCTTGAGAGAGGCATGGGGAAGGGGCTTTGTGGGGCAGGGGCGTGGAGCTTGGCTGCAGCTTTCTTCAGGTAATTTTTGCCACTGTTTCATGGAGAAGGATGACTAGTCTGTCGACCTTTACCACTGAGGCTGGAAATTAGCATGCCAATACCCTGTCTGTCTGGAGCTGACTCCTGGAGAATTAAGAGCCTCCCTCCCTCCCTCTATCCATTCATCATGAGGAGAAGAGGCCAAGCAGCAGGGACACTGGCAGGAATTCTCCACTTAGAAAAGGCCCTCTGAGCTGGGCACGGTGGCTCACGTCTGTAATCCCAGCACTTTGGGAGGCCAAGGCAGGTGGATCACCTGAGGTCAGGAGTTCAAGACCAGTCTGGCCAACATGGTGAAACCCTGTCTCTACTAAAAATACAAAATTAGTCGGGCATGGTGGGTTGTGCCTGTAATCCCAGCTACTTGGGAGGCCACGGCAGGAGAATCGCTAGAACCCGGGAGGCTGAGGTTGCAGTGAGCCAAGACTGCACCACTGCACTCCACAGATACTCCGTCTCAAAAAAAAAAAAAAAAAAAAAGAAAGAAAAGGCCCTCTGAGGCCAAGCTTGGTGTCTCACACCTGTAATCCCAACACTTTGGGAGGCTGAGGTAGAAGTTGAGGCCAGAAGTCCATGACAAGCCTGGGCAACATAGTGAGACTACAAAAAACATATTGAGACTCTACATAAATATAGTGGGAGTGGGGGTGGGGAACAAGAAAACATAAAAAATTCAAAGCATACTGAAAAGTAATACAGCAAGACCCTACAAAAAAATTAAAATTTGCTGAGTGTGGTGGTGCCACCTTTAGCCTCAGCTACTGGGGAGGATCTGCTGGAGGATCACTTGAGCCCAGGAGTTCAAGGCTGTGATTAAGCCACTGCACTCCAGCCTGGGTGACAGAGCAAGATCCTATCTCTAAAAACTCTTTGGCCACAGAGGAGAGAAGGCAGACAGGAAGCCAGTAAGCCAAGCAGGCAGAGGGCAGGTGGCCCCAGCCCAGCTGTGGGGTGGTGAGTAGTGTCAGGGAGACAGGAGTTCAAGAGCGAGTGAGGTTCCCAAGGGGGCGAGGTTGCCTGTGGCCCCCTCCCAGGGCACAGTCTCACCCCTCCAGTAGTGCACTCTGTCCTCCCTGGTAGGTTCAGGCTTTTCCCCACCACCATGGTGCAACCATGCCTGCCCCCAACACCACTGGTGCAGCTCCATCCTCCACACAAGGGTGCAGCCCCTTCCCAGCGCCCATTCGAGCTGCTGTCCCGTTGCAGGGGGCATTGTGACAGCCGAGGACCTGAACAACTACCGCGCTGAGCTGATTGAGCACCCGCTGAACATCAGCCTGGGAGACGCGGTGCTGTACATGCCCAGCGCGCCGCTCAGTGGGCCCGTGCTGGCCCTCATCCTCAACATCCTTAAAGGTGAGTGGTCGCACCACAGCCCTGTGGTAGGACCCATGACACGCCCCACCCCTGCTGCAGCTCTGCTGGCCCCCATGCCACGTCTTTGCATCACTGAGCTCCCAGGGAGTGCTCCTGCATCACAGCTCACCATATCCTGAAGGAGGCAGTGCAGAGCCACAGGGCTGAAGTGGGCAATGCTCAGGGGTTGGAGGAGGAACAGGAGTCATCAGGACGGAGAGAGGTACAGGAGCTCAGGGCTGCAGGGCTTGGTCCAGAGGGAATCCTTGGTCCAGTGGGTGGCCCTGCCACTTGGTCATTGCATGGCCAGAGCTGATGTGGTTGGGCGAGCTCAGGCTGCAGGGCTTGGTCCAGAGGGAATCCTGGTCCAGTGGTGGCTCTGCCACTTGGCTGACATGGCCAGAGCTGATGGGTGACATGAGATCCGTGTTGGGGGAGCCTCTACCTTACTTTCTCTACTCTCACCACAGCCTTGTGAAGCAGCTGCTGCTATTGGTTATTAAATGCTCCTTGAGGTGGGCAAAGTGGCTGAGGAAGGTGTTCACCCTCTGAGTCCCTCAGATCCTCTGGGGCTCAGCAACGTGCACCCGGTTCTGATCAACCAGGGTACAACTTCTCCCGAGCGAGCGTGGAGACCCCGGAGCAGAAGGGCCTGACGTACCACCGCATCATAGAGGCTTTCCGGTTTGCCTATGCCAAGAGGACCCTGCTTGGGGACCCCAAGTTTGTGGATGTGACTGAGGTAAGGGGCAGAGGCTGGCCCACTCTAGGCGTGGGGCCTGCTGTAGAGGCATCAGGTGGGCTCCCCAGGGCGGCTGCAGCCTCACATATGCTTTATGAATCCATTCCTGCCACAAACTTTGATTGCGGGCCTACTGTGTACTCAGATGGACTGGTGGGTGATCCCGAGTCTTGGCCTCTGCCCCACAGAACTGACAGTGTGGGGAATTAGTGGCCACACTCCTACCTCAAGTGCTTTGCACATGCTGTGGTTCTCGAGCTCAGTGCTGAGATGAGGAACGCATGGGAGCATTGCAGCCCTCGGGCATGATGAGAAGGACAGGTGAAAGGGAGAGCTCCATGCTGGGTCCCTGTGAGACCCTGTCATATCCCTTCCCCGCTGAGGATCCTCACATCCCTCCTTACCTACTCGGGTCCTTGGCATTCCCGGGCAGACCTGCAGACCCCTCCACACTGACCAGGGACCTCCCAGGAGGGGCCTCAGCTGCCCGGGTGGTGTCTTCTCTTTCCCCATGAGCATTCTGCACCTCTGACTCCTGCTGCAGCCAGTGACCTGGTGTCTTGTCTCTCTGAGGGGACAGGGCCACTACAGCGTGTCCCTCTGCCCTCCCTTTTAGCTAAGGCCAGCTCTTCCATCCATGCGCTGGTTCAGGGCACTGTTCCTACAATGCTCCTCTCTGCCTCTGACCATTTACTTCTTTATAACGGATTATTCCCGAAAGAAAGGCAGCTCTTGTAGCTCTAGAAACTTCCATCTGCTGCCTCCTTCTGTCCTCTGCTCCCCTTACAGCAAACATGGCTGGGCTATGTCCTCTCTCCCTTCAGGGTGTCCCCTCCCCTGCTCTATCCCCATGCCACCAGATCGCCACATCCAGCCTCAGTTTCCCCATCAGGCCCCACTCAACAGCATCTCACACAGCTCACCACACTCTCCTCGAGTTTTCATTTTGCAAATTTTCACACCTACGAAAATGTTTAAAAAAACCCCAAAACCGTCCAAGTGTCAATGTTCCCTTTCCCTAGAGTCCGCAGTGTGGACGTTTCTGCTGGATTTCCTCTCTCTCCGTCTCCACCCACGTCTATTGGGATTCGTGTTTTTCTGAGGGATTTGACAGTAGGTTGCTGATGTCACACCTCTGGGTGTGTCTCAAGAGTGAGACTTGAACACACCACAGCAGGATGCTGGGGTGACACAACCTGCTGTCCCTTCTCTTTACCTACAGTAGGCTCCCTTGGCTGTTTTGTTTCTGTTGTGTTTTTGTTTGGACACAGAGTCTCTGTCATCCAGGTTGGAGTGCAGTGGTGTGATCTCGGCTCACTGCAGCCTCAACCTCCAGGGCTCAAGCAATCCTCCCACTTCAGCCCCTACAAGCAGCTGGGACCACAGGCACATGCCACCAAACCTGGCTAATTTTTGTATTTTTTTTTTTTTAGAGACAGGATCTTGTGTTGCCCAGACTGGTCTCAAACTCCTGGGCTCAAACGATCCTCCCACCTCAGCCTCCCAAAGCGCTGGGCTTACAGGTATGAACCACCGTGCTCGACCTGTTTTGTTGATTTTTAAAGCCCGGGGCAGTGGTCTTGGAAGATGTCCCACATCCTGGATTTGCCTTTCTGTTTCCTTAGGGGCAGATTCAGACAGAGCACCTTGCCCTGCGATTGCTAATCTGTGGGGGTGTTGCTGAAACTCTCCTGAGGCATTTTCTTTGGCCCTCAGGGCCCATCCTCTCTGTCTCCTCCTTCACCTCCTCATCTCCTCCTCGCCACGGCCTTGGGGACCTTGGCCAGACTCGTGGCATCCAGCAGCCGCTCAATGTCAATACCTCCATATTCATCCCTCAGCCCACCCTTGCCGGTGTACCCATGCTTATACATGCACCCATGCTCTTCAGGTCTGATGAAGCATCCAAAGGCAAGCTCCTGACCGTCGCCAAACCTGCCCCTTCTGCAGGGTTTACTTCCCTAGTTGGCGCCATCCTCAATTCTTCTCTTTCTCCCACCCAGGCCATCATCTCTTGCCTGGTTGATACCCACAGCCTCCCCTTTGGGCTTTATCCTTATCCCCCTCACAGCTGTCAGAGGGACCCTGTGAAAACACTCCCCAGCCTGCTCATTCCTCTGCCCAGAGCCTGCGTGGCACAGAGCAAAAGCCAGTCACTAAGGGACCTAGGAGGTCCTGTGGGATGGGCCCCAGCCTGCATCTTCATCTTTTTCTCCCCCAACCCCATTCACCATCTGCCTATCGCTTACCAGCCTATACCGCCTGCCTCAGGGCCTTTGCACTGACCATTTAGGCTGCATTCTAGGCTCTTTTCACATGTTGCCTCCTCCAAGAAGCCCTCCCTGACCACTCTGCCTATACCTCATGCCTCTCAATTCCCCTTACCTGGCTTGTGGTTTCAGCAATTTCCCCGTGTGCATTTGTTTTTCTTGGCATGGGAGCAGGGACCTAAGTGTCTGTTCCCTGTTGATTTTCCAGTGCCAGGCATGCAGTGCAAACTCTAGAAATATTTTTTGTGTGAGTGAATGAGTGATTGAATGTGGCAAGGGTCTGGAGGCTGAGGGCCAGATAGACAGACATTCAGAGTTGCTGGAAGGCAACAGAGACAGAGAGTCAGACTGGTCATGCAAGGTCCTGGGCCTGTCCTTGAGCCCTGGGGAGCCACGGAAGGCTGTGGGTGCCAGAGGGTTGTGGTCAGAGCCACAGTTAGGGGCCTTCTGAGACCTGTGCCCCCTCCCCACCGTCCCTCCCCACCTCCTCAGGCCAACTCTTTGGTCTCGGCAGGTGGTCCGCAACATGACCTCTGAGTTCTTCGCTGCCCAGCTCCGGGCCCAGATCTCTGATGATACCACTCACCCGATCTCCTACTACAAACCCGAGTTCTACACGCCGGATGATGGGGGCACTGCCCACCTGTCTGTCGTCGCAGAGGACGGCAGTGCTGTGTCCGCCACCAGCACCATCAACCTCTAGTAGGGGCTGCTGGGCCGCCTGGGTGGGACAGGGCCAGGGGCATGTGGTCCAGGGACTGCCCACTTATCCAGTAAGGTGGCTCCATCACCTCTTTTCCTGGTGGAAAACTGAGGCCTGACCTTGGTAGCTTATCCTGGGCCTCTCAGGGAGTAAGTTTGAGCCCAGGTTGGGTCGGGCGAGGTCAGGCACTGTCTGACCTGGCTGGGCGGTAGCTTTGGCTCCAAGGTCCGCTCCCCAGTCAGCGGGATCCTGTTCAATGATGAAATGGATGACTTCAGCTCTCCCAACATCACCAATCAGTTTGGGGTGCCCCCCTCACCCGCCAATTTCATCCAACCAGGTATGGGGTGGAGGTCCGGGGGTGGGGGGCTGGGGTGAAGGGGGGGTGTCCTGGGCAGGCAGCTGACCGGCATCCCCGCCTTCTCCCGTCGGCCACAGGGAAGCAGCCGCTCTCGTCCATGTGTCCAACGATCATGGTGGGCCAGGACGGCCAGGTCCGGATGGTGGTGGGAGCTTCTGGGGGCACGCAGATCACCACGGCCACTGCACTGGTATGTGTCACCCCTTTTCTCCCTGGCGCTGCCCACCCTGCACAGCCCCCAGGCCATGCTGATCACACTCCCATGCCCCAGGCCATCATCTACAACCTCTGGTTCGGCTACGACGTGAAGCGGGCCGTGGAGGAGCCCCGGCTGCACAACCAGCTTCTACCCAACGTCACAACAGTGGAGAGAAACATTGACCAGGTGTGCTGGGGGTTGGAGAAACTGAGTCACAGTGTGGGGTCCCAGGGCACCCTGGACTGGAGGCCTGGATCATCACGGAGTGGACAATGGTTGGTGTCCTCTCTCTGGTGCCTGGGCCATCTGGAGCCCCTGTGCCATGAGGGCCAAGCCCCTGCTCCAGTGAGACCAAACAGGCCCCAACCTGCTCTTCCTGATGACCTGGCCTGAAATGGCACCACCTGGGCTGAGGCCTGTGACCACACGGGCATGGTTCAGGTGGCATCTGGAGCCCTGCTCAGGCTTCCCGTCTCCTCCCACCCCCAGGCAGTGACTGCAGCCCTGGAAACCCGGCACCATCACACCCAGATCGCATCCACGTTCATCGCTGTGGTGCAAGCCATTGTCCACACACCTGGTGGCTGGGCAGCTGCCTCGGACTCCAGGAAAGGCGGGGAGCCTGCCGGCTACTGAGTGCTCGGGACAGGGAAAGCTGACCAGCAATCCAGGGACAAGATACTCACCAGGACCGGGAAGAGGACTTTGGGGTCATGCTTCCCTTGTGAGTGGCAGAGCAGCACAATAAATGAGGCCACTGTGTCAGGCTCCAGGTGGCCTCCCTGGCCTGGCTCCCCACCCTCTGGGCCTCAGTGTATTGTGTGTGAAATGGAGCCATCTGGCTGGGGAGGAATGGAGAGGTGGGATTCGGAGATCTTCACACTGCGGGCGCTGGAACTAGCCTCAGTATCTTCAGCTTGGGGAGAGCCAGGCCCATGGCTGGGGGCCCAGGGAAGGTCCATGCCAATGCCTGCCCTTCTCTGTCCTGAACTCTTAGACTTGGGGCCAGGCCCTTCTTCCCTGGGCTGGGCAGGGACACTACCTAGGAGCAACCACCAGGGGGTGCCGCGACCCTGGCGCTTTCTTAGGCACAGGGTGGCCAGCTGATGCCGGGAACCCGGGTGTCTTCTCAGACCTGCAGGCGTCCAGCTCACCCAGCCGAGGACACGGGAGGTGAAGCTGATGTCCGAGGAGTGGGGATTTGGCAAGAGGCTGGAGCAAAACATCTTGGTCAGAGCCAAGCTCCTGGGGGTTTCCAAGAGCAAGCCCAGAGTGAAACCCAAGCTTGTGATCCTCTCCAGAGGGAGGCCTGGTTCTCAGAGAACAGCAAATGGGAAGAGGTCTCCAGATTCCAGGGATCAGGGCTTGGACCAGCTGGGGACACAGCCCAGAGGGAGTGGGTCTGGAAGGGAACAGCTAGACACAGCAGCCTTCACCATCGGCAGCCCCTCCCGGCCTCCCTCGGGGTCTGCTCCCTCCTCCGGGCACAGTTCCAACACCTGGGGCAGGGTTCTGGGAAAGGCTGGTGGAGGTGGGCTGGTGGGGGGCGGTGATCACAGCCCAGCACCTGGATATTACCAGGGACACTGGGGCCAGGGCCCAGGTGAAGCCAGGTCAGGGCTCTCCTTTAGAAGCCCTGAAAACCTGGTGATACCAAAGGGCCCACAGACAAACAGGGTTTTGTGCCTGCGGAGTTGAGTACCACCGGGTCTAAGCCCTGGAGGGCTGTGTCCCTGGGGCTCCCCAGGGGTGAGATGGAGGTGGGCTCAACTGGTGTACCCGTCACTCCTCAATCTTTATTTTATTTATTTAATTTAAAAAATTATTTAAACAAATAGAGATGGGGTCTCACTATGTTGACGAGGCTGGTCTTGAACTCCTGGCCTCAAGTGATCCTCCATCTTGGCCTCCCAAAGTGCTAGGATTACAGGCATGAGCCACTGCACCCGGCCTCAATCCTTATTTTGGCCTGAAAGGAAAGGCTGTGGCCCCGTTTGCAGGGGAGAAGACTGAGGCTGGAGGGGCAGGCCTTGCTCTGGGTTGCACAGCAGCAAGAGAAGTGGGAGCTGGCCACGAGGCTTCCTGGACCTGATACGCTGCTGTGGTACACCCTGGTTCTACAAGTCCCGTGGGGCTCAGCCCAGGACTACTTCGGGAGGTGGGGGACTTAAATCCCCTCTTCCTTCTCATAGTCCCTTCTCCCATCATTTCCTGAGGAAGGACATTCAGGGACCTCCCTGGCTGTGCCTTGGGCTAGGACCAGAATGACACCCATTCCTTTCCCTGGGCCTTTGCTCAGGCGGTCCCTGCACCCTGGCCTCTGCCTGACCAGGGTGGTGGGGAGAGGAGGGGGGACGTCCCCTCCGCTGCTGTCTCCTCTGTTCCTGCTGCCCTGGCCTCTGGGCTTCCAGGACTGCAGCGGGTGGGTGGGTGGGCTGGCCTGAGCCCAGGAATGCACTTCGGCTCCTGGTTGAGCAATGTCACTGAGACTTGGGAGTCGGGTAGGGGCGGGAAGAGGCGTCCACAGGCCCCCACTGTGAAAGGCAGCCGTGGGAACAGCCTGCCTGTAAACAACCACTCCAGCCCAGGCTGATCAGGGACTCTGGCTGGACATAGGGGCCTGGCAGGCTGTGTGGCCTGTAAGGACACAGGCTGTCTCTGTGCCTCAGTTTCTCTGCTGCCCAGTTGGGCGTCCCAGACTCCAGGTGTAGACATCTGGAGCAGGCAGTGCTCAGCTGGGAAGGAAGTGTGGAGGACTGGAGGAGCCATGTGGGAAGGATTCCAGCCCACATCACCTGCACCCCTGCTGAGCCTAGTCAACAGAGCCCCTCAGTGGGTCCTCACTCCCCTGGCTGCCTCCCAGTTAGACACCCTGAGGCCTGGGGAGAACAGGGCCAGGCCAGCGTCCCCAGAGAGGCTGCGCTGCCAGCACAGTAATAGCGGATTTGGATTCAGGGAAGCAGACCCGCAGCCAGGGTGGGGAAGAGCTGCAGGCTGGGCGTGGCACCTAGGCGGCACAGCCTCCCTCCCTGGAGGCCCACGCTGCATTTCTAGGACAGCAAGTCCCAAGGATGGATGGTCCCAGGTGCCAAGGGCTAGAGGCATGGTCTGTCTGCATTCCCCACATGGACGTCTTGTAGTCACCAGCATTTGATGCTGTCAAGTCCCGCTGTCTTCTGTGCAGACCGGGAAGCCCTTGGTCACCCTGGAGGGTTATGGGACCCAGGCCAGGCTGCAGAAGTGTAAGGACTTGAACCCAAGTTTTAAGTGACACCACTTTGTGTCCCCCTCCCTCTGTCTCTGTTTAGCGCCACCTCGATGCTGCCTGTGCTGGGCCATGCAGAGCGGGTTAGGTGATAGAGATGGGAGCTGGGGAGTGGGGCTCCACTCTGGGAGGGGGCAGCCTTGCTGGATCCAGGGGAGATGGTTGAGCAGCCCCAGCTCTGCTTTCCCAGAGCTGCCGGGAACCCCGGGAATGGTGCGGAGATTCCTGGGAGTCCTGCCCCCACCTGCGACCACAGTGCAGCAGGCACCAAGTTCTCCTGCACATTGGGACAGTGTGACCCTGGGCTCTGGCGGGTGGCAGGCAGGGGCCTTTGGACCTACCGGCAGTGAGGGAGTTAACACAGCAGCTGGCTCCTCTAGGCAAGGAAAACTCCCCTCAGATGCTTTGCTGCCTGGCCTCCTGCCAGGAACAAGCAGGAGCTGAAAACTAGAAGTTGAGGCGTGAGTTTGGCCACTCTGTAGTGTGCATTTAGGGAGGGCAGCAGCACGTCACAGCCGCCAGCCGCAAGCCATCCGTCCATTCACTCATCTGTCCATCTGGCAGCCCGCTGTTCAGACCTATCTGTCTGTCCACCCATCTGTAAGCCTGTCTCTGTCCCATTGTCTATCTGACCATCTTTCTCTTACTGTCCTCTTCGTCCAGCAATCTGGCCTGTCTGTTGATCCATCTTCGTGTCTGTCTGTGGCCCCACCTGTTTGTCCATCTGTCCAATTATCTGTGAGTCTATCTGTGCATCTTCTTGTCCATCCATCTGCCCACCCATCTGTCCCTGTGTCTACTCACCGGCCTCCCCTCTCCTCCTGGGCTGCAGAGCCATGGCCCGGGGCTGTGGGGCCACTGTCGGCCTAGCCCTGCTGGGGCTGGGGCTGGGGCTGGCGCTGGCTGTCATTGTGCTGGCTGTGGTCCTCTCTCGCCACCAAGCCCCCTGCGGCCCCCAGGCCTTTGCCCACGCTGCTGTTGCTGCCGACTCCAAGGTTTGCTCGGATATTGGACGGTGAGTGAGAGGTGGCAGGGAGCTGGGTGGCCCTTGGCAGCCAGCCCCTCCTGGAGAAGGTGCGTGTGTGTGAGTGTGTGTATGGGTGTGTGGGGAGTGTGTGTGAGTGTGTGATTGCATGCGTGTGTGTTTGAGAGTGTGAGTGTATGTGATTGTGGGTATGTGTGAGTATGTGTGAGTGTGAGTGTGTGTGTGAGTGTGTGTGTATGCACGTGCACTGGCCCAGGAAGCAGAAGCCGTGTGTGTGTGGGCTTCAGTGCCTGCAGGGCTTGGGCACAAGGAGGCAGCCTCAGGGCCCTTGCACAGAACAGGTGGCAGGGTGTGCCCATGGGGCAGATGGTGATTTAGGGACAGTGGTGGTGTGTGAGTCCACACCTGGCTCCAGGATTCAGGAGGCCCATTTGCATATCCCAGGTGGGAACCGGTCTGGCCCCGCCTGACCCTGCTGGCCAGTGCAGGCCCCTTCAGTGAGGCCAATTCTCCAAGGCTGGGGTCTTCTCCCAGGGTCATAGGTGAAGGGCTTCAGAGGCTCCCTGTGTGGGTACTGACCTGCTGGGGTACACAAAATGCTGCCACAGCCAGTCTGCCCCAGCTCCCAGCTGGGGGCTGCATCTCAGGTCTCTCAGTCCTGGTGAGCCTGGTGACTCACACCTCACATCCTCTCTCCGAGTCAGGGCCTGGGTCTGGTGAGCTGAGTGACTGATACTTGGTGTCCGGGATGAGGGTGTGGTGGAGAGGGGCCGCGGCGGGTGTTTCCTGACCCTCTTCCAGGAAACCCAGCCCAAGGGAGGCCTCCGCTGCTGCCGCTACAGAGAGGACACATACAGGATGCCCCTTCCTGCCCCCTGCCTGCCATTGGGCCCACAAAAGCCGGGGCAAGCCTCCCCTCCCTGCCAGCCACCTGGTCTGCTTCACAGAAGTTCTGTCTTGCACTCCATTGGGAGGATCCCAGTGGTTTGAAAACTAAAGCAAGGGAGGCCTGGCTGTTCTCTCTCTTTTGTTCATGTATTCACGTTTTGAGTCATTCCTTCCTCCCTCCATTCCCCCATCTGTCCATCCTTCCCTGCCCTGATTACCCATGCCACATCCCCAGCTCCTCCTGACCTGATCTTTTGGTTTCTCTTCAGGGATTTTTGTCTCCTCCCACAGGGCTGAGAATGGCAGCTCAGGGACAAGTGGGGACTGGGGACTCTTGGTCTCCCGGGTGGCTCCCAGGGGATTCAAGGGATTGATGCCAGCTGCCACCCCAGGCTGTGCCCCTCCTCTGCTCAGGAGGACATACGGTGGCACCCACTTAAACTCAAAGTTGCACAGATGCAAATGAGACTGGAGTCTCAGGCACCAGAGACCACCGTGGGCACGTGGCCTTTGGGAGTGGGGACCTGCTGCCACAGATCTCTGAGTGGAGTCTGGACCTACTGGGTCTCTCCGAGTGACTGTCTGGGGGTCTCCATAGTGTGCCCTGCTGTGCGCGTGAGGGTCAGTGGTTGGATAGGGGTCTCTGCTCTAATGCTCCCTCCGCCGGCACTCCCTCAAACTCCCTTGGTGAAGAGAGAGGATGTGGTTTGCCCCAGTGTTTTATCGAACAACTCTCTCCACTTCCTGTTTTCAGAAGCTGGGAGTGGAAGAGAGCCTGGGGCTGGCCCCAGCTGCTGCTGCGGAACAGGGATCACTGGACGCTGGGACCCTGGCCGGGCTGGCTGGGAGCCTCAGGAAGAGGCCTGCTGCAGCGTCATCCTGGCCAAGATCCCTCCCTGCAGGGGCCCCGGCCACGCTGCCGCAGGGTCTGCTGGGGCCACCAGAAGCCCATGCTCCTGCCTCCATCTCTCCCCTGCGTGCTCACCTCTCACCAGCAGGCCCTCCCAGAGTCCAGTCTCTTCTGCTCTTTTTTTTTGTTTGTTTGTTTGAGACGGTGCCTCGCTCTGTCACCAGGCTGGAGTGCAGCGGCGCGATTTCAGCTCACTGCAACCTCCACTTCCTCGGTTCAAATGATTCTCCTGCCTCAGCCTCCTGAGTAGCTGGGGCTACAGGCGCCAGCCACCATGCCCAGTTAATTTTTGTATTTTTGGTAGAGACAGGGTTTCACCATGTTGGCCAGAATGGTCTCAATCTCTTGACCTCATGATTTGCCCACCTTGGCCTCCCAAACTGCTGGGATTACAACAGTGAGCCACGGTGCCCGGCCCAGTCTCCTACTCTTTCGGCAGGTTTTATTCTTGGGATTCTGCTACAGCCAGCACCCCTGGGTGTGAGTTCCTAAGGCTTATGTGAGTGTGGACCCAGCACCATGCCTAGTAGACATACAAAAGAAGCATGGTGACATCTCCAGCAAAATGACTGGAGATCCTTGTCAAAAAGGTGATTTTTGGCTGAGCGTGGTGGCTTCACACCTGTAATCCCAGCACTTTGGGAGGCCGAGGCGGGTAGATCACTTGACGTCAGGAGTTGGAGACCAGCCTGGGCAACATGGTGAAACCCCGTCTCTACTGAAAATACAAAAATTAGCCGGGCATGGTAGCAGGTGCCTATAATCCCAGCCACTCGGGAGGCTGAGGCAGGAGAATCACTTGAACCCGGAAGGTAAAGGTTGCAGTAAGCCAAGATTGCACCACTGCACTCCAACCTGGGTGACAGAGCAAGATTTGGTCCCAAAAAACAGACAGAAAAGTTTATATTTTTGTTCTAATGGTTATCTTAATCTCTTCATTCTATAATTATATGTTTTACATAATTATAATCACTATATAAGATATACTACCCCTAGTACTTTGTTTTTTGGATATTCTGTTTGCTCCTGATGGTTAATTTATGTGCCAACTTGCCTTAGCTATGATGCCCCATTGTTTGGTCAAATACTTGTCAATATCTTGCTGGGAGGTTATTTCATAGATGTGGTTAACATTGACAGGCAGTTGACTTTAAGTAAAACAGAATACTCACCATAATATGGGTGGGCCACCTCCAATCAGTTGAAGGCCTTAAGAACAAAAACTGAGGTTTCCCAGAGAAGCAGGAATTCTGCTTCAAGACTATAACACATAAATCCTGCCTGAGTTTCTGGCCTGCTGACTGCTCTACAGATTTTAGCTTCCAGACTTCGAGATCAACTCTTATCTGAATTTATAGCCTGTGGGCATGCCCTACAGATTTTAAACTTGCTGGTCCCCACAGTCGTGTGAGCCAATTCCTAAATAAATCTCTCTCTGTCTATGTATAACCTATTGGTTTAGTTTCTCTAAAAAACTTTTACATCCAGTTTCCTGGATGTTAAGTAATACTGAACCTAGCTAGTAACTTCTTCTTCTTTTTTTTTTTTTTTGAGACGGAGTTTCGCTCTCGTTGCCCAGGCTGGAGTGCAGTGGTGCGATCTCGGCTCACCACAACCTCCGCCTCCTGGGTTCAAGCGATTCTCCTGCCTTAGCCTCCCAAGTAGCTGGGATTACAGGCATGTGCCACCACACCTGGCTAATTTTGTATTTTTGGTAGAGACAGGGTTTCTCCATGTGGGTCAGGTTGGTCTCAAACTCCCAAACTCATGTGATCTGCCTGCCTTGGCCTCCCAAAGTGCTGGGATTACAGGCATAAGCCACTGCACCCGTCTCCTAGTAATTTCTTCTTTTCTGCGATGTGTGTCTTATCTCTAATAATACTTTTCTTCTTGAAGTCTACTTCATTAAAAATAGTTATGCTGAGCATGGTGGCTAACGCCTGTAATTTCGGCACTTTGGGAGGTCAAGGTGGGTGGATCGCCAAAGCCCAGGAGTTCAAGACCAGCCTGGGCAACATGGTGAGACTCTGCCTCTACAAAAATACAAAAATTAGCTGGGTGTGGCTAATGTAATTCTAACTTGGCACACTTGTAGTCCCAGCTACTTGGGAGGTTGAGGGGGGAGAATCACATGAGCCTAGAAGGGAGAGATTGCTGTGAGCCAAGATCACGTCACTGCACTCCAGCCTGGGAGACAGAGTGAGGCTCTATCTAAAAAAAAAAAAAAAAAAAAAAAGTTATACAACTTTCTGGGTTAGTGCATGTATGATACGTTTTTCATTATTTTCCACCTTTCTGTATCCTTATATAAAAGCCATTGGTTGGGTTTTACTTTATTTCCAATTACTTTAATTTTTATTGATTGTCCTTTTAAATGTAACTGATGATTTATTTGGGTTGAAAGCTACCACCAGTTTGCTTTCCATGACTGTTCTGTTTCTTCTTATCTCCTCTCACATCTTGTTTTGCATTTATTATTTTTATTATTCAATTTCCTGCTTCTCTATTAGTTTCGTAACTGTGCAGTCTTGGAGTTATTTTAAAAGATGACAGCAGATTATTTTAGAGCTTACAACATGCATCCTTCACTTACCAAAGTCTAACATGAGCTAGTACCTTTATTTGTTGATTTGTTTTTTCTTGAGATAGAGGGAGTCTCGCTCTGCTGTCCAGGCTGGAGTGCAGTGGAGCAATCTTGGTTCACTGCAACCTCCGCCTCTTGGGTTCAAGCAATTCTCCTGCCTCGGTCTCCTGAGTAGCTGGGACCACAGGCATGCACCACTATGCCCAGCTAACTTTTGTTTTTTTCTAGTAGAGACAGTGTTTCACCATGTTGACCAGGCTGGCCTTGAACTCCTGACCTTAAGAGATCTGCCTGCCTCGGCGTCCTAAAGTGTTGGGATTACAGGCATGAGCCACCGCACCCAGCCTATGAGTTAGTACTTCTATCCTCTTCCTAGTCAGTACAAGAACCTTGGAACAGGAATAAAATTTACCCCCAATGACTTATATGTTAATACTTTTCTGTATTTTAAATATGTGTGTCTGTGTGTATGTGCATAGATGTATCTGTGTGTGTTTTGTGTTTTTATTCTTATTTATGTTGAGAGTGTAGAGGTTTGTAAAGGTAAACAGAATTGTATAATGAATCCCCATGTATCCATTCAATTTCAACAACAATCTTATGGCCAAGCTAATTTCATGTAGACTCTTTCCTGCTTCCCTCTACCCC